CGTCGCTATGAGGTTGGAGGCCAGGCTACAGGTATGAGGTTGGAGGCCATCGCTATGAGGTTGGAGGCCGTCGCTAGTAGGTTGGAGGCCGTCGCTAGTAGGCTGGAGGCCATCGCTATTAGGTTGGAGGCCGTCGCTGAGGTTTGAGGCCATTGCTATGAGGTTGGAGGCCATCGCTGTGAGGTTGGAGGCCATGGCTATGAGGTTGGAGGCCATCGCTATGAAGTTGGAGGCCGTCGCTATGAGGTTGGAGGCCATGGCTATGAGGCTGGAGGCCATCGCTAGTAGGTTGGAGGCCATCGCTATGAGGTTGGAGGCCATGGCTACTAAAGGTTGGAGGCCATCGCTATGAGGCTGGAGGCCGTCGCTAGTAGGTTGGAGGCCGTCGCTATGAGGCTGAAATGAGTATTCATTTTAGACGAAGGAGGATTTGTACACCGGTCGAGGAATCCAGGACTCGCCAACGCTCAGCCAGGCGCATTACTTCTCCAAAGCCCTTTGTGGGACATTGATTTTTCAGCAGGCTCGTTGGCCGCCGGCAGCCAGCTGTGTTCCGACTCGTTCCAGCTGGCGTTTGCTGGGTGAAGTGTTGACACTTGCATGTTGTTTCTAGGGTTTTTGGATTTTAGTCATTTTTGTTGAGGTGCGCAACACAAGTACAAGCGTAGTAGCAACAAGGAGAAACTGGATGCTGCCAAGTTAACTTTCTCCACTTACGGTCATTGGGCCGAGTAAGATCATGGGGTCACTTTTACGAGGAGCGTGGGCTGGTTTGATGCTTGTGACATTGTCGGACATTACAACGTGATCCAAGAACGATGTTAACTTTCGACTCAGCTGGCCAAGACAGCTGAGCGCCGCTGTGCGCGGCGTCTGCAGGCAGCTTTGCGGCGCTTGCCAATTCATTTGCCGGACTTCTCGATGCAAACAGTCTTCAGGCAGTGCCACTTCGTGGGGTTTGGGGTGAGAAGGAGTTCACGCGCTTCACCTTCGGGAAATGTTTGAAAGGGCTGCAGGATCTTGAGCTTCAATGTTTTGCCGGATTGCCCAGGTTGTCGACAGCAGGCTTTCCATTGCCAGTGGGAGGTGAACTGGTGGAGTTGGAGACCTGGTGAAGGGCAGTCACAAAGGGGACTGTGAAAAGAAGCCAACCGGAGGAATCAAGAGCTGAAAGGATAAGCGTCAGGGACAGCCAACCAACAGGATCAAGTCTTAGCTTCTACTCATCAAAACGGGAACGTCAAACCTTGCATTTGGGGGCTCCAAGACAACTCTGCCGTGAGAGAGTGCAAACACTCGGGACAAGATCATGAGGCTTTGCCTTGCTCTCTGCCTTACTCAAGAAAAGCACCTAATAGTGGCTTCCTTCCTAGACGTTCCTTTCTTTAACAAGAAGCTACTAGGAACAAGTGCCACGCTAGTAGTAACAGGTGCCTTACTAGTAGTAACAGTGTTTGCTATTAAAAACAATAAGCTATTAGAATTTGTATAATTAGAAGATGCCTTTTCGACCTTTCGACCTCCGAGGCCTTTCGACGACTCGGGAGGGCGCTCTCCCGCGTGGACCTGGCTGTGCTTCTTCCGTTCCTTCTTCCAACTCACAGTGCCCTTCCGTTCGGACCTGGTCCATCCCGCACAAAACCTAGAAAACGTGATTTTACGTGTTTTTTTGCAGGTCTTGATGCTGTGGAGCTGCACCTGTGCCAGGTCTTCAGGAATCTTCCAGGCAGAGCAAGGTCTTACATCTTGGGCAGCTTGGTGTTGAAAGACGATTATTAGCAAGCCAGACAAGTTAGACACACTGACTTGCTGGAGTCTTTCACGTTTTCTTTGCTTGGTTTTTGGACTGCTTTGTGCTTGGACAGTGTGTGAATGATTTGAGTGCCGTGAAAGTTAAAGTCCCTAGGCAGCTGACATGGCGGCTGCATTCTGCAGGCACATGGGACTCAAGACACTAAGCCACTAAGCATAAATAGAACTCTATAAAAGGAAAAAAGACACGGGAAAAGAGGCAGCCGGGGATAAAGAAAAAGGACAGAAGAAAGAAGCAAAAAGACTATAAGACTACAAGAACTCAAAAGATATAAACATGTGCGATCGTCTTTTGGATTTTCTTGTCCTTTTTTTCCATTGGGTGACGGACCCTTCGATTCAGTCTTCTTCAGCCGTGCCTTGCGATTCCAGGTTTCTCCATTCACTGAACAGCGACACGGGGAACGATGAGGAGAAACCGAATGAGAAAAACACATTAATCTTTTTCACATCCTGTTCACTGGGCAAGATTTGCATTTATTCTGGGTGCGATCTTTTTGCTGGCTTCTTGGGTTCTTCTGACTTAGCTATCTTAGGTTTCGGTTCTTCTGTTTGGAGGCCCAGCAAGTCTAACCGAGTCTAACCCACTACATTCAATACAACCCTGGCTAACTCCTTTGGATTTCTTCACGTGGGTGTTGCCGCTTCAGGATCTCTTGGTTGACTGCAAGACACCCATGTCAAATGAACGAACTGCCGCATTCTTAGCACAGAGGTTCGGACCCAGCTTTGTTCAAATTGGCCAAGTCGGCAAAGTATGGTTCCCCAGTGTCACAGGTGAAGTTGTTTTACAAGGAAGGAGTTATGTAGGTTGGAGACCATCGCTAGTAGGTTGGAGGCCATCGCTGTTAGGTGTCCTTTGTTTCTCTCTTTTCTGTCTTACAATCCTTTTTTTCAAAAAAGTGAGAAGCCTACGTTTTGCGTGCCAAACCCTCCAGGTCCTGCGCTGGTTCCGATCAGCAGTGATGATGTTGTCGGTGTGCACCGCTTTTGTGCTTTCTCAGAAAATCTGAATGCACAATAAAAGCACACACTGGCCAATATGTGCACAGTTTTTTGGAGTTTGAAGCGGTGTTCTTTCAGAAGTCATGAACATGGCACTTCAGATGTCAGGTGAGTGCTTTCCTCACGAGCACCCCAGGATTTGCAAGCCAGGCATGGATGCAGGGACGTTTTTGGTTGCTTTGCTGACAACATGTTCAAGTTTTGAGCGCTATGAGGTTGGAGGCCATGGCTAGTAGCTTGGAGGCCATTGCTGGCCATCGCTACTAGGTTGGAGGCCATTGCAATTAGGCTGGAGGTCATTGCCAGTAGGGTGGAGGCCATTGCCAGTAGGGTGGAGGCCATTGCTATTAGGAAGGAGGCCATTGCTAGAAGGGT